TTTTTTTTTTTTTTTTTTTTTTTTTTTTTTTTTTCCTTTGCTTCCCTGCATATAGACTAAGGAGAGGATTGTAAAAGAAACAACCAATCCATTTCCTTGCATCATTACATTACTCTTGCTAGACTGGCATCTAAATTCTCCCATACCAAGGCTCTTCAAATGTTTTGATTTCCTCTTAGTTATTTATGGAATGCTTCATCCTGTTGTTTGCTGATATGGATCTTATCTTTTTTAATGAGTTTAATTTTCATACATTGACGGTGTAAATTCTTTTACAAAATTACACAATTAGAAGTCACCTTAAAAATGACTTTGGGCTTGTTTAAAGAAACTTCTCTAGAGACACTTCTTGAAAGAAAAATAAGAAGAAAATACAAATGAGTTTTTCTATAAGTTAAATTTAGCTTATTTATAAGTTAAAAAATAAGATTTTAAAGAAACTAATATGAAACTTTTTACTAATTAACATATGCATAAGCTAATTTTACTTGATAAAAAAACTCCTTTTTTTTTTCTCTCTCTTGTTTCTCTCTCCTAAAAGTACTTTTAAAAAAATTTGTCCAAATATGCTATTTGAAAGTCATTATTGTAAGATTCAAACATCTTATCACACATGTCAATCTATGATTGAATAACAGTATATAAAACTCTTACACTATAATTAAATTCTTCATTGCATTCCTTTAATGTTTCCCAAACTCATGGGGAACAAGGTCTAATATGAAAATGTAATGTAATTTGCAAATCAACTACCAAACTGTATTTCCATATTTGCAACATGTGCATCCAATTTGTCCCCTTACTCTGGCACTAGCGAGCGGGTTTCTTGTCATATTTGTTAATGTAGTAATAACATTTTAAATATATTTGACAACGAGAGAACTTGCAAATAAACACGAGCTTATCCTAAATTTCTTGTTGTCACTGACCTGTTGTTTTCCGTTCCCATTTTTTGGTTTTTGTTGGGATACAGATGAGGTCCAATGTTGATAAAATAAGAAGATAAATAACTTATAAAGTACACACATATTTCAATGATTGAGAAATTTTTTGGGTGATAATCAAAAGTAAAATTGTGAGGACTTGGATCTAAAGTAGATAATATCTTATCACTATGGAGGATTGTTGGGATACAAATAAGGTCCCACATCAAATAAGAAAAAAAATAGCAACTTATAAGGTACAGAGGTACTTTAATGATTAAGAGGCGTTTTGGGTGATAACTAAAAGTAAAACCGTGAGTACTTAGACCCAAAGCGGATAATATCTAATTATTGTAGAGTTATGTGTGAAATAAATTTATAAAAAAAATAAATACCATAAAATAACCTCAACAGTTTTTTCACCTTGTTTTCTATTTTATCCTTTTATTCACACTCCCTTCCTTTCTCTTTTAACCATTTCCTCTTCCATCCCAAGTCTCACCCCCATTCTTCTCGTCTTTAAGATATATTTATTTCTTTTGTTTATTCTCTTCTTGTTTCACTTTCATTGTCTTTTCATTTAGTTTTTATATAAATCTTTGTTATCTAATAAACACATTTTCTTTCTAGATAAATTAAAATAATTATATTAAATAAAAGAATTTATAGGAAGTTATTTCTATAATAATCATTTTTAGAGAGTTTCTTTTATTGAAAATATTTTAATTTTTTCTCAAGCTCTTTAGTTTATTATTTTAATTTTTAATTCTAAATTAAATTTTAATTAAGAAACTACCAATGATAGTATTTTATGTTAGCTGAAAAGTATTCTTGGACAAAACCTCTTAGTTTTATTGAAGAAGAGTAATGCATTAGGGTATTTTATGAAAACAAGTTACAAGAAGTATGTAACAATTTTCACTTTCCTCATAAGATCCATGTATGCAAGCTCTCCATATATTTTAATGTAACTGTGAAGCAGTATGTGCTAATAAGATGAATAGGACAATACCTTTTATATTGTCAATCTTTTGAAATAGTTTGTGATATATAAGCAACAACCCTTATATATTTCAAAAGATTCTATGTACAATGGTTGGGGATGAAACATCAACCAAAATATATTAGGTAAGAATTGCTTCAGTCTTATGAGGACCTCTAAACCTAGGATGTATCAATTATCAAAAAAATTATATAATATTATAATGATACATCCTAAGTTTAGGTCCTTATGAAATTGAAGCAATTCTTACATAATATGTTTTGGTTGATATTCCACCACTGACCATTGCAAATAAAATCTTTAATAAATAGATAAGAGTTGATGCATGAATATCATAAACTATTTCAAAAGCTTGACAAATGGAAAAAAGTGTTTTCCTAATCATCTCATTAGCAAAGACTACGTCACAGTTACATTAAAATATATGGAAAGCTTGACACATGTATCTTATGAGGAAGTGAAAATTATTACATACTTCTTGTAACTTGTTTTTTTATAAAATATCCTTATGCATTGCTCTTCTTCAATACTAAGAGGTTTTGTTCGAGAATGCTTTTCAGTGGACATAAAATACTATCATTGTGAAAACTAGAAAATAGAAATTCACATTAGACAAACAGGGGGAACAAAAATCTAATCATGGGGAACAAAAACAATTAAAAGGCATAATGCTAACTAGCAAGTAATATCTACATATTAAAAAATAAAATGAGTCAAATTTACGAGAAAAACATTATAACCATCCTTTATAGTCATTTAGTACTTAGATATGACAACGACCCATCAACATCGATTTCCATTAGAGTTTCTCCACACTTATTTTAAAAGAATTAATAGTTATTAGCATCCAGAAAATAAACTTTCAAACAGGGGTTGGCAAATAGATGGATAAGATAATTTTTTAAGCAGATGATAATGGATCGGATAAAAATAATTCATTAAACTATTTAGATCCATTAAAAGTTCACAAAAAATCCAATCCATTTAAAGAAAAAAAAATCATTTAATTCATCCATTAAGGATACATATCCAATCCATCCATAAAAGATATTTTAAAAATTAAATAATTTTTATTTTTTAAAAATATTTTTTTTCACTTTTCTTTATAAGTCATTATATTCTTATATAATCTTTTAAAATTAACGAAATACTTTTATGTTAAAACAGCCTTTAAAAATCTCAATCCATTAAATATCTCATTATAATCCAATAAATTGTGAAAAAGTAGTGGATGAATCACTAACCATCCATAAAACTAAATAGATGGATTGAATTTGATGCATTATTTATTTTTGTTATAATTGATAAATTGGATGAATTTACTTATAGATAGATCGAATGAATGATGAAAAATGAATTCATTTACAATCTTTAATTTCAAATGACACCCTGAAAATAACTTATAACTATAATTTTCAATAAGGGCAAAAAACCAATAATCCACTATATTAGTGGGATAACATTATTTATAGTACCATAGTCATTTTATAGTAGCTATTTAACAATACTAGTGACTCCCATGAGAGCTCTTTAGCTTATTCCAATATATTTTTGG